AGTTTCATCCCTTAATCTCTGCTGGGGGAGGAGAAATGGATTTTTCAATGGCGAGAGCCGTTTGGGGACTCACTCGATCCATAAATATTCGTTTCTCCCCCTCTAATTCAGATGAAGGGATAAAACAGATCGCAATCAGTTGAGGATTCAATTTTCAATCGATTGGCAAACGTTTCATCCCTTCGTCCTCATTAGGGAAGGAGAAATTGATTGTTATATTAAGGGCAGGATTCCGCCGCCCGTCGGCGTTTCGAACTGCGGTAGGTTTCCCTCACCTACTCGACAGCGAACGTCACCGCTCGCTCCGCCCTCCGATTCCCCCATACGCGTTCCCCCCCACTCTGCGCCGTTATCGACGCTCTCACACGCTCCCTGTTTTACTTACAGGTCCGTACTCAAAATTAGTTCTGCGCCACCGCTACGAAATTTTGCGGTTGAAGCGTTTCCATAGGCGCTAGCAATCTCCCTTATAATCTCTGGGTCTATCCTCTTTGATTTGTACAGTCGTGCAAGTATGAACGGAACCCCCCCAGAAGAGCCTGGAGAATAGCCTTGGTCTACAGAATTGTGTTGAACACTGTGTGGATATTCATTTCTTGTTAAAAATTAATTTCAAAGATTCTGAATTTTTTTATCAAAAGTTCAAATCATGGAAAAGATTAATGGTGCGTTATGCGTTGATTGTTAACCCTTGAGTGGTCGCAGCTTTCCACCGAACATTACTGGTCGCATGGTGGCCCCGTGTATTTCGCGATTTTGTGAGAAAACAAAGTTGGAAAATTATATCATTTATTTGTAGTTTACGGATAATTTCAAATCTTCTATCAATAGGAAATAGTGATATTGAAGAAGAATAGTCGGCCGATAATCCTAGAATTCGCTTTCATTAGGTACAAATTTTTGACATTTAGAGATTAAACACGGGGATTTTCTGTCAGTCGAGTTTTCAAAAGATTTTAATGATTGATTAGTGCGAGTATAGATAAAAAAAATAGTCAATGCGTTCGATCTAACGGGTCTCCTCAGTAATTTTCGCCACAAAACGACAATGTGCTAGCGAATTGAATATGTAATATAATAATCAAAAATGGTAAAAGGAAAATTGTAAAAAAAACTCTGAGTAGTTTTATCGTTTCATTAGTTTTCAATTAATCATTCGAATTTCTGCTTATACATGGGCTTTATGAACGAAATTTTGTCCCTTACCCCTCACCCTGTGGACAATGTGCTAGCCAACAAAGGAAGCTATATTTATTTATATTAAACTCTCAAAAATAAGGGAATGAAGTGTCATCAAGTTTTGCCAGTAATTTGTTGAATAAATTAACGATAGAAATAATTGGCGTGATGTCTGTCACTATCCAACGTACGCCATGTTTGATGTTTGGTCTCGAAAATAATAGAAAAACCTGTCTCTTTGTCTGGGGAGTTCTATTGAAAAATTCAATTTGTTTTTGTTTTGTTTTATTTCTCTTTTTTTTGTTTGATGGTTCTCTCGAAAATAACCTCACTAACTTAACCATTTTACGCTCCACTCACCCGCGCGTCTATCCCCGTTTTGCCCTACTGAAGAGACCCCTTAATTGAAAATAGGAAAATTGAAAAAAAATCTAAAAAAAGCTGCGATTCCCGCATTGGGCGACCACTTAAGGGTTCGAGGAAATTTTTTGGATTTTGCACCTTATTTGCTCAATATTGCCAGTGATCATCTCCCATACCATTAATCCATATTGAACAAAAAATATTTCACTACTATTGGATTATTTCATCCATTCATTTTTTTTTATAACAGTGAATAATTTTGTGAAAAAATGTTCAAAGAGCTCTCTTGTATAGGAAAATCTCTACTTTTTACGAAAAGTTACGTCATATTTTTGTTCCAAAATCATTTAATGCAATTCAACTCAATTTAATGTAGATTATTCGGTATTAAAAATAAAGAGTATTTTTTTGGAAATCGCTAGCATGGTCGAGATTTTATTATTTTATGTGTTTCTTTCATTTTTGTTCCGGTCTAATTGACCTGATAAATTTGTACCATACTAATTTATACGTCCGGAATACGCATATCATATACCTACGCAAATATACGTCAATCATACAGAAATTAGCTATTTCTATTTTATTCGAATTTTCAGTATGTAGTTAATTATTAAAAATGTATTATTAAGAATTTTATGGTGGCTCATGCTGTTTTATGATTCTAGGACCTCGAAAGGATACGAAAAAGCTTTCCTGGATATACAAAAATAGAAAACGGCAAAGACAGAGAAAAATTGAGACTAACAATGATGCAAATGGTCAAGTGCAGAATAAGAAGGCTAGAATTATTGTCCGGAATTTATCATTCAAGGTAACTGATTATTCACTTTCGTGTTCACTTACTGTTGGTAACTTACATAGTATAGTATAGGAATCAAGTGTAAAAAAAATTTAATAGAAGAACTTAGTGTTTTTTTTCAAAACATTCTATTGGATTTTTTTTAAAGACCCTAGAAAGATTCTATTGAAGTTCTGTTAAAATTTGATTTATTAATTCTATTTTTTGAGCCATTTCTTATGGAGATTATGCAACTTAACCATGTCATTTTTTCAAAGGATACTGAATAGAAAAATGACAATAGATTTCGATTTCTCTATAGAAATTATTGGGCCTAACTTTTCTAGAGAGTTACTTGGGCCTGACTTCTAAAGTTTTTTCCACTCTATTTTCTTTTATTTCTCGTTTATTTCGCTGTTTGTTTATAGAAAAAAACAACAGAAAGTAATATAGAAAACTCAACATCCATAAACTTTTTTAATCAAAAGATATTTATGGAAAAAATGCACGACAATGTTGCTGAATTTTCAATAAAATTAGAGTAAAAAATAAATTGAATTTTTCAATAGAACTCCTCAGACAAAGAGATAGGTTTTTCTATTATATTTTTTCTTCATCTAATGTTTCAAATTTTATAAACTCTACATTTATCTTGGGAAGGAATGATTTCAGATGAAAATCAGGAATGCACTTAGAAAAAACTTTCCTTCCTCCTACTCGGGAATGTCATATAATTAGACAGAATGTAAAACTCTAGTCTTCCTGACGCATGAAATTTTCATTTTAGTTGCGAAATTTTGGGAAGGCATAACTCAACCAATGAATTTTTCGTTAACTAAAATTCCACGTCAAATCGACGGCCAAAAAAATTTAATTTTAGGGGTATGCTCTTCAATTTTCAACATAATCTTCAAATAAAAACTTCACCTATTGCTACTCTGCTGTTTAACGGTGTTTATGCCCCCATGTTTTTTAAATTGTCAATTCCACAACAGTTTTTTTTTAAAGCTGAAAAGAATCGATGAGAAACCCATCATAGATTCTTCTGCGCTTACGTCTTGACATAGAATTGGGTTTGATCTAAACTCATATTACTCCTATGTTATCCCCAAGCAACTCATCTCTGACATATTCACAGCATAGAAATAATCATTTTTGGATTGATGCATTTTCAATTTTATGATTTAAAAATTTAGGTAACGGAAGATGATGTAAGAAAGCTCTATGAACCCTTCGGGAAAATAGAACAGATAGATCTCCTCCGCAGACTCGATGGAAAGCCAGTGGGTTGTGGTTTCATTCAGTTCAAACGAATAGAAGATGCTTCTAGAGCAATTTTCAAAACCAATAAGAAAGAGTTTCTAGAAAGAACGTTAAATGTTTCCTGGGCGATTCCAAAAGCCAAATTTGTCGAGAATCACAATACAAACTTTCCAGTCAAATCTACAGATAAATCTTTAACTGAAGAGCCAGACATAATAAAACTCGGCCATGGCCTATCGAACTTCTCTGGACCCAAGGAACTTAGGAAAGAACGCAAAAAACCAACGATAGACAATAGAAAACATTACAAACTTCAGAAACGTCAGAAACGCTCTCGAATAATCATTCGAAATTTACCATTCACAGCAACTGAAGAAGATGTGAAAAACTATTTTTCTGAATATGGTACCATCGAAGATATAAAATTGTTAATGAAATCAGATGGAAAACGTGTTGGTTGTGTTTTTCTACAATATGACAATGTGCAAAGTGCAGCAAAGGCAATTCATTATGCAAATTTACGATCAATGATGGATCGCTTGATTGTGGTTGATTGGGCTGTACCAAAAGCACTCTTCCAAAAAACAGATAAAATTGAAGTTGAAGAAAAAGAACATGCAGATGTTTCATTGAATGAAGAAAAAGATGAAGTGAAGCCGGAAGGTGACGGACTCAATGAAGGAAAAGATGAAGAAGGAGAAGAAGAAGAAAATGGATATCTACAGACAGAAAAAAGGTTAGAAAGTGGAATTGACAAACGCCGTCTTAGAATTTTCGACGATGTGAACGAAGGGAAAACCATTTTTCTGAAGAATGTTCCATTCTCAGTAAAAAATGAAGAATTAAAGATATGTATGGAACAATTCGGTCCGGTACACTATGCTCTAATTTGTATGGACCCCTTAACTGAACACTCAAAGGGCACAGCCTTTGTCAAATTTAGGAACCTGAAGGACGCAAAGAAATGTTTGTCCTCTGGTACCGAACTGCAAATTCAGGGAGAGACTCTCGATCCTCATAGAGCTATAGCCAAAAAAGACGTCCTGAATTTGAAGTTACAGGACTCCAATCAGACTAAGGACTCAAGAAATCTTTACTTAGTGAAGGAAGGAGTGATTTTACCAGGTAGTCCAGCTGCTGTGGATGTATCTGCTGGGGACATAAAAAAGCGTCTGCACATGGAGCAGTGGAAGTCACAAATGTTGAGGAATTTAAATATGTTCGTCTCTAGAGTTAGACTCATTGTTCATAATTTACCAGCGATGTTGGATGATGCAAAACTGAGAGCAATTTTTAAGAAGCATGTAGGAAAAAAGGCGGTCATCACTGAAGCTAAGGTAATGCGCGATCTAAAAAATCCCGATGCTAATGGAGTAGGGATTTCGAAGGAGTTTGGTTTTGTTGCTTTTAGGAGGCACGATGATGCTCTAAGGGCACTCAGAAGCATTAATAACAATCCTAATATCTTTTCCAAGGAAAGGAGACCAATTGTCGGTTTTTCCATTGAGAATCGTATTATGGTGAATGCCAAACAACAAAGGGCACAGAAAAGCAGGCATAATAATCCTTTGTGGAAAGGGAAACGAAGTACTGATTCGAGGCTGGAAAAAGCAGATGGACCCTCTGTAAAACGTTTCAAAAAAATTGAGGATAAAAATGATAGACCTGATGGGAAATCTGAAGTGCCGGAAGAGATATTCAAACCTGTGGGGGACGAAAGAGTTTCGAAGTTTTCTGGAATCACCAGTAGACCCGGCGATCGGAAAATGAGATCGAAATTCAATTTGAAAACTCAAGCGCAGCTTCATGCTAAGATTCAAAAGGGTCAGAAGAAAGAAAGGAAGATAAAGAGAAAAGTTATGGAGCAGGAGGTTATCGAAACGAATTCTAGAAAGGAAATTAAGCCGAAGCACGGGGTGAAAGATTTGAGCAGGGAAGAGGCCCATTTGGATGAAATGGTAGAAAATTACAGATCTAAACTGTCGGAAATTTCAAGTAAGAAAACGAAGTGGTTTGAAACATCAAATTGATGGAGTGATGAATTTATAATTGCAATTCCCAGCTGTGCAGAACGATTCTTTGGAATGTATAAGAAATAACTTACAATAAAAAAATTTATCTTCAAATAATAAATACGTTCAAGGAAGAAATTATACTTTACAATACAGTTGATGTTTTTTTTTTTTTTTTTGTAAATGAAATAAATATTTCATTAACGAAAAATGGCCATTTGAACGATTAAAGCAGCATCATTTATTACAATAATTTGGGAATCACTAGAAGCTAACAATGTTAAGTTAACGGACAGCCCCTAGTCGGACGTCCCTCCACACATGCCCTCCCATGTCCTGCCGACAGTCTTCTGCCTTTCAGCATGTTTTGTATCCAAGCAATGATAGCCTTGGACACCTGTCATTCTTCCATGGCTTTCTCTATAGCCGGATTCGAAGTGCTATCAAAAGTCCCCTCAATATCCAGAAAGGCCCCGGGATGAAAAATTTGAGTCTTTTTGGGGTCTGCAAGACTCGCGTCTGCGTCTATGAGAGAGTATGGCTCAGCGCCAGTAGCCATACTTTTGAGAGACTCTGCGTGGGAGAAGCATCAAGACTGCTACCGAGCGTCTCTCGGCGAGAGGCTCCGCGTCTCTTACGCATCTCAATAATTAATTAATCACTAATAACTCCTTCAATTT